TAAAATCGGTAAGAGTAGGCTTCGGCCGCCACCCGGGCAAAATTCAAAATTTCCTACCAACTGAAAATATTAGGTGTGTCCCGCGCGCTCATATGACCTATGCAATTGCGAGCGCCGTAAAACACTTTACAAAAACAAAACAAACTCTTACTAAAACTAAGATTATACTGAGAATGTAAGTACCTGCTGTTGGTGCGGCCTGTGAGGGCCCTGGTGCCGGTCCGGTCTTCCCGGCTGCCGCCGCCTGTCCGTGCACCCGTGACGTCACTGTGGTCAGCACCAACAACAACAGCTGCACTGTCACCACGGACGACGCACGGCGATCCGGCCTGCTCACAGACATCGTTGGTGTGACCGTCCTCACCACAGTTATGTGTGTGCCTCTCTCTCTCTGTGCTCACGGCAGTGTGGTCGAACCTGCTGGAATGGCCACCTGTACAAGGCTATCCCCTTTTTTGCAACACGACCTCTTCCCTCTTCTTCCCTTGTGGGTTTGGTTGTTGTTTTTTTCCCCTACACTATTGTAATGGCACTTTCTCAAGACGTCCACTTGTCTAAGACAACCACTTTCTTATTCACAATTTTCGTGACCGTCTTAAGCAGTTTAGACGGTGGTAGTTTTAGGCTCTCCAGCGTCCTTTATCGATGAAAGTGTTCACAAATGGTTCTGATTTTAAAAGTCTCCGTTGCTTCTTTTTTTTTTAAAGCGTATTGTTAATGTGATATTTTAAAGAACTTTATGAATTGTTATTTTAAAGAACTTTATGAATTGTTTGCTTCATACTTTATCGCTGAAGGTTCAACAAATGGAGCTATTTAAAGCCTTCGTTGATTTGTTTTTAACTTAATCGATTTAGAACATTAAAAATAAAAAAAATTAGATATCTGAGTATAGATCTTTATCAATGAAGTTTCACAAAGAGGTTGAAGCTTTTACAAGTCCTTCTGCTAAACTCTTTTTGAAGGGTCTGTTTGTAGCATTAGTGTCCTGCCACTTATCAGAAATATACACTCCTTTAATTTTGCGACAAAGGTGATGGCGATCACTTTCAAACAAAAGGCAGGTGATGTTGATGATTATAAATACGTTCGGTTGATGAAATCAGGCGTTCAACTGAATGTCTTAATCATGTGACTTATATTGTTGGAAATTTATTTAGCGAACACATGCCAATAGTGTGTAGTATAAACTGCGCTGTTGTCATCATCAAAGATGCGAGCGTGTGTCACGACAACGTGTTATGTCCATGTTGCGCTGATATTACGCTGAATATTGCACTTGCCTCAAACTGTTAAGCACCATTAAAAAGAAAAAAAAAAGATCTTACGTCTTGTTAATAGAAGTTTCTGGACTATCAAATTGTCCTCCAACTTGATTATATTATATCCTTTTGATAATGTGTCACAAACTGTTGATCCCTATAATAATCATATAAGAAAGACACCATCCTTTACACCAGAACACTCCTTTCCTTTCGGAGTACACACCTTTTCTGTCAGGACTCGCCTCTCCATCAAACTTCTGGGCAGATGGGAAAATGCTTGAAATAAAACAAAGAAGAGACAGGAAAAGGGGGACAGGACAATGAGCTATCTACAGGTGTCAATCATGACGTCGTGTTCAGAGAGTAAGGAAAGTTTGGGGGGGGGGGACGCCATTGGCTAGAAGAAGAGTCGATC